ATAAGATTGGCAACTTTTAAAAGACAGTGATATCCTGGTTTATTTATACTGTGATTTTCCCTTTCTGTTTATGTAAAGCCTACCCACACAGTGATGCCTGGCCAGGTGATGAGGGTGACGACGGGGGCCCCTATCCCCTGCGGTGCAGATGCTGTCGTCCAGGTGGAAGATACCGAGCTCCTCCGAGAGTCAGAAGATGTAAGCTTAGCATTTCGCCCACAATACAAGCAAAGGGAACAGCAGATAGATGTATAACTACATCAATACTAACTTATTAACTAATTATTTGAAATGCTACAAAGAGCGTAAGGTGGATTCTGTGGTTTTCCACACAGAGATTCACAGTGCTTACATGAATTACATCCTGTGTAAGCTCTTACTGTTTTTTTGGGGTTTTTTTTTTGTTTTTTTTGCCTTTAAAGTAAGTGACCTGTACTTATAAAGCATCTTATAAGTCGGTGGATTTTGAAGCGCTTTACACTACACTGAGTGAAATCCATGGATCTCTGTTTATTTAACTGAAGTGAATGGTTCAATAGCTTTTTCCCATGACAACTTTTATGCAAAAATGTCAACAATACTACTTAATGTATATCAAATAGAAATACTAGAATTAGTGTAAGGGTTAGGGTTGGGAGCTTTTACCAATTCTATCAGTGTGTGACTAATGCTGATAAAGCTTTAGTAAATTTTTATTTTTGCAAATAGTGTAAAGGTCGTACATCGCCATTCTTTTCATCGGAAGGGTTGCACTGCTCAAAGGCTGATCCCTTAAAAAGACAAATATATATTTTTTAAAAAGAACATTTAAGCATTAAGCAGATTTTTTTTCTTTTTTTTTTTTGGAGTGCTTGTTTCCCCTCTCCCGATACAGGATGGGGTTGGGGAACATGTTACCCATTTCTTAAAAAATCTCTGCAGGCAGTCATGATTACATAAAAAACTGCATTAGTTTAAAAATAATGATAATAATAATATGTCATTTGTTATTTAGGGAACAGAGGAGTTGGAGGTCAGAATTCTAGTACAAGCTCGTCCAGGACAGGACATCAGGTAGGTTCAATTTTGAAAAAAAAAATCAATTCCCCTTGCATTTGTAATTTTATAGAGATTGTTGTGGTTGTAGAGAAATCTAACATTAAAAACTATTTCTGCATGTGTCCAATAGAAATGATCATATCCTGCCTTACTTTACATTCGTTAATCTTATTATGGCTAGAGGCCAAAGGAATGCATAACATCTCTCTAGAATGTGGCAGCAACTGGGCTCCTTGATTGTTCAGCTTTTTTAATTCAGTGTTTGTTTCTCTACAGGCCTATTGGTCACGACATCAAGCGTGGGGAGTGTGTACTGGCGAAGGGAACCCATATGGGCCCCTCTGAAATCGGTCTGTTGGCTACTGTCGGAGTCACAGAGGTTGAGGTCCAGAAATTCCCCGTTGTAGCTGTCATGTCCACTGGAAATGAGGTATATTTCTGAAAATTTAGGTTTTAGCTGACGGATTTTTTAAATCACTTTCTGGGTAAAATCAGCAGGTGTTCAAATGCTGTTTAGAAAAAAATATGCTAATTGTTTTCATATTGCCTTCATCAGTTTAACCATCAGATTATTTGACAGAAAGGAGGATTAAGTAGAGCTCATATTATAATATCATTCTGGAGTGCTCACTCATAAAACAAATCTAATTTTACATTCTTCCTTTGGGTGTATTCTAGAATATAACATAATTCTGACAGGCTGAGTTTATATTTTTATACATATATATATATATATATATATATATATATATATATATATATATATATATATATATATATATAAAAAAAAAGTCTTTAAATCTTAACCATTTCTAGTTTTAGATCAGTTAAGTTTTCTCAAATGGTATTTATCTGCTTAAATTTAGATTGAGAGAAATGTTTTTTTGTTNAATATAACATAATTCTGACAGGCTGAGTTTATATATATATATATATATATATATATATATATATATATATATATATATATATATATATATATATATATACTGCATAAAAAGGCGCATTTAAATCTTAACCATTTCTAGTTTTAGATCAGTTAAGTTTTCTCAAATGGTATTTATCTGCTTAAATTTAGATTGAGAGAAATGTTTTTTTGTTTTTTTTCTAATGTTCACTTGCACTAATAATTTACCTTTAAAAATTTTGGGAGAGCATAAGTGATTAATTAAGCTTCTTAAAGGTAGATCTCAGCATTTTAGTTGGTTTAGGACGGTGTCTGTCAGTAAATGTAGAAATATGTAGCTGGACCCAAAATGCAGAGGTGGAGGAAGAGATGAGTTCTTGCAGATTTATTGCAGCCAAAGTATAAGTTCAAAATCAAACAGCAAAGGGACGTGCACTAGAACGCGATGTATGAGATAAGCAGAGGCTTCGAGTAGTGTGTCGAGTAGTGGAGGTGGCGTTCCTGCAAAGTGTGTATCAAGGCTTGCTTCATTTAGGGGAGGAGCCGAAATCTATGATGTCCGAAGCCTCGCTACCACAATACCACGTGACCGATTCTGGAAGTGGTTGGGGGAGTGTTGGCCTAGTGGGTTAAAGCAGTGCACTTGTGCTCTGGGAAGGTTGCAAGTACCCGGTTTGATCCCAACCGACTGAGCAAGACCCTTAACTTTACACTGCTCCTCAGGCACCACACGATGGCCACCCGCTGCTCCCCAAGGGGATGGGTTGAATGCAGAGATAAATTTCTCCAATGTGAGATCAGTAAAGTTCCATAATTATTATTATTGTTATTATTAATGCCTACAAACTCAAACAGCCTCAGTATTCAGTCAAAATGTGGGAGTTTTTAGGAGAGTTGCGGTGGATAGTTTTTGTTATACTCTAAGAATAGATTGGTTGGAAAAACAACCGATATAGTTGGTTAAAACTATTTTGGTTAGATTAAACAATATAATGATCAGAAACTGGCCACGCCATTGGTTTCAATTGTATTAGTAGTATTCAGTAGTACTACTTTCTAATAGAAGGTTAGTGTTGAAATTAGAGTTTGCTGTAAGGATTTTCACTTTTGAAAGTAACAATACTACTTAACCAGTATTTTGGTCAATGTGACCAATTTGCATGGGTTTGCCCTTTTACCGATATAGATTGGGTAAAAACACTACCAAAATAAGTTCGTTGTTAAACCAAAAGATTGGTTGAACACATAACTTCTAAAACCAACGCCAAAAACTGTGGAAAAACTATTATTTTTTAGTTAAAATGACTAACACCTTTTTGATTTTGCTCATCATTGCCCAATTTGCAAAATCACTTCCTCTGTATGCTTGAGCTTATGTCACTTGTGAACAGTGAACCCTAAAATATTCTTCTCTTCTAAGAAATTTTACTAACAGAAAAAAATGTATTATACACAACAATCATGAACAATTTCTAGGGAACTTAAATAGGGGGGGAAAAAAACTGAGAAAAACAACAGCAAAAAAATTAAAGATTATATTATCATTATATACTAACTGTACTTATCCACCAGTAGGTGGCGACCTGTTCACATGAAGCTTCATGAAATGTGTGGTTCGTTAAAGCAATTTGCCCCAAAGGTTCATTGCCTCATGAGGCTTCATCTTACCATCAATAGTTAAAGGCAGGTGACTGATAAGAGCTGATGAAGACATGAAATAATGGCGACGATCCAGCAAAGACAGGGGAGGGGTATAAATACACTGAGGAGGAGATTAACAGGACAAAGATTGAAGTAATGATCTAAGTGGGAACAGGTGTGCAGAGAAAGAACTACAAGGAAACCATTGGGGAGTGTTTGATATTGTATTAAACAAGTGACTAGGAAACATAACCTATTTGTTAAAATAACTTTAAAAATAAATGAATATACTTTGAAAAATGTCAAAATAAAACTAGAGCAAATTCTAAGGAATGTGGAATAGGAGATAACTGAAAACACATCAAACAGGAGGATTAGTAAAACTAAGGAGTAATTCAAAAAATGTATAATTCTTAATAGTAAAAACAGAATAACATAAACCCAAGCCTGCCTGAAAATTTAGATTGAAAACCCTAAAGCAGCAGATCATAACAGTGTCTCAAACACAATGCTTCCTTGTGTGACGAACTGGAAAATCAAAGAAATCAGCCAAATTATAAGAAATCACAATTATGGACCTGCTCAACTCATCTCTCCTCATGAGCAAGGTAAACACAGTAGAAGAGGCCAGCAAGAATAATGTTAACTGAAATGGGTTCTGTTTCCCACAGATAAACTGGTTTTATTTTAAAAAATCCACTCAACACAGAACAAAAGCAAACAACCTTATGAAGATATTGTTTGAAGCTCATCATTATGCACACGGAATCAAGTCATGCACCAAGATGACCCAAAAGGCTAGTCAGTTAAGAAAAAAAACAAACGAAAAAAAAGCCAGACTAAAGTTTGTCGATGCACTCGGGGACAAAAGCTTTAATTTGGATTTATGTCCTGCATCCGATTAAACTTAATAGAAGTGTTTAATCATGATGACTGTTGCTAAATTTAGGGGGGCGGGGTTGCAGCACAATCCCATTTTAAAGTCCTGAGTGGCTGGATCTTGTTATGTGGCTGTTTCTGCAGGAAGGACATAGATCACCTCACAGCAACATTTCACTAAAGCGGTGTTTCAAGACGTCAGCTAGGAAGGTGTTGCTTTGGCACAAATGGATCTCGCAAATGAACTATCCCCTTAATCATACTCCCAAAGTAGATACTGTGTGTCTCAAGATTAGTAAAGTAAAGGTTTGGGAGTGGCCATCCCCCAAAAGCTGAGCTCAGTATCTTAAAAATGTGCAGGCAAAGCTCTAAGTTGTGTAGGAAAAAGGTAACCTGCAGACCATATCCAGTTAAGTCTGTTCTGAGAAGGAATGGGCCAAACTTCCAGCAAACAATTGTGAGAACATTGTGGAAGCATAGGGAGTAAAAGAAAATTATATAAATACATATATTTTATTCTTTCATAAATGTCAATAATCCTTAATGTGCTAAAACAGGAAAACTTTGATCTGATTTCGTATGAGACTCTAAAAAGGGGTGTATGGCTTAATTTATACAGTGCACTCAAGGTAAACATCTAATATCAGCTTATTTGAACAGAACTACTCTGTTGGACACAAAAATACGACAGGTTCCTTCTTTTTCTGAGCCTGACTTTCAGCTATTATTATCATACTTCAGCTATTTGTGTCCCAAATTGCCTCCAAGTACTTCACTTATTCTAATTAGTGTGTAGATTGTTAATCATGATAAAAGATCATTGCATGGGTAGCATTGTTTTACATGAGACAATTTTCATCAGTTGTGTTTTATTTAGTACACACGGCTGTTAGAACACCGTAGCCTCCCTCTATGTTTGTTACTTACAAGGATTTGTCGCCAAGGGTCATTAACTACTGTTGTTCCCTTCCTGTTAACTGTTTATTTATCAACTTGGTTCATTTCCATTAAGAAACATGATCTTTATCATTTTACTTTGTGTTGTTTTCTTGGTAGCTGCTCAACCCAGAGGATGACCTCCATCCTGGGAAGATTAGGGACAGCAATCGTTCCACCCTGCTTGCAACTATCCAGGAACATGGCTACCCTACTATCAATCTGGGAATCGTTGGGGACAAGTAAGGTTTTACATTTAGCCAGTGACAAACCTTTCATAATTACAATAAAAAACTATACATTTCAGTTGGTCCTTTTGGGTTAGACTGACAAAAAGCAGCATATAACTGTGAACTTGGAGAAAAAGAAAGCAAAAAAAGGACCAACACATTTAATTCCTAAAGAAAAACAATTGCCTTTAGGAATTATATATAAAAAGTTGATTACAGACTTATAAGTCATTCATGCTCCAAAAGTCTTTCTTTAATGGTAGAGTAGCAAGAAGAATACCTTTGTTCAAAAGTCACATATTTTCAGAGATGGGAAGTAACGAAGTACAAATACTTCAGTACTGTACTCAAGTAGATTTTTCTGATATTTTTACTTTACTTTACTACTTATTTTTATGGCGACTTTTTACTTCTACTCCTTACATTTTTACATAAATATCTGTACTTTCTACTCCTTACATTTTAAAAAATTGGCTCGTTACTTTAGTTTTGAATCATTTCAATGGAGTTACCATTATTATTTTTCACGTCATCAATACCAAATTCAATCTAATTGGATGGGAATCTACGTTGCATTTGACGCACCACTACAAGATGAATCGACAGATTCGGCGGTATTCATTGGCGGCAAATCATTGCAGCTTGGTGGCGGTGGCGTTAGCATAGTAGCATGGACGACGAGATGATTGAAAATGAACACAACGGAGATCTAGTCCTATTGGCAGACATCCATTTAAAATGTAGGCAACGGCATGAAAAAAGTGGTTTCTACTTTTACTTTTATACTTTAAGTAAATTTACAAGCCTGTACTTTGTTACTTTTACTTGAGTAAAGAAGTTTAATCAGTACTTCCACTTTTACCAGAGTATTTTTTAACACAAGTATCTGTACTTTTACTCAAGTACGGAAAGTGAGTACTTTTGCCATCTCTGCAAATTTTCTTGAAATTGCAACAAACCATGTGGGGTACACTGTAAAACATTGGTGGTGTACTACATCTGTTTTTCTCTCTCAATTGTACCCTTGTTTTTTATTTTTCGTTTGTTCCTTGTAGCCCTGATGACCTTTTGAATGCTCTTAATGAAGGCATCAGCCGTGCTGATGTCATTATCACATCAGGAGGGGTGTCCATGGGAGAGAAGGTAGAGTTGGATGAGCGATAAAGATGTTGTTTTACTGACACCTTGTGGTAGATAGATGGATAACAAAATATAACAAAAACTCACCTACTCGCCTTTTTATTTTTTAAAGAGCAAAGAAATATTATATCATTCAGTGTCATTTTATGTATTTCAGATATTTCTTTTTTTTTGTTTACAAGATATAGTTTATAATTTTGTCTTTTTAAATTTTATTTTTTAGGATTACCTCAAGCAGGTGCTGGATATTGATCTTCATGCTCAAATCCATTTTGGTCGCGTTTTTATGAAACCAGGGTAAAGAAAACAGAACTTCATTATTTATTCCACTTTTATCCCACTTCTAATTTTCCCACAATTTATTCCACTTCTACCTTGTTCAGTTTTTTTATAGGGTTTCTTCTTTTCAAATTTAATTTTGTCGTAAGGACATCTGTTTCTTTATCTGTTTCTTAGTCTCCCAACAACATTTGCCACCTTGGACATGGACGGTGCTCGCAAACTGATTTTTGCCCTCCCAGGTAGTGTGTGAAGTTGAGAGAAAGAGTGATTCTACCAGCCCGTTGCACAGACTTGTTACTCAGATATTTTTCTTTGTGCTTTCTCCTCTCCTCCGCCTCCCCCTGTCCGCCGATTTGTCCCAGGAAACCCCGTGTCTGCTGTTGTCACCTGTAATCTTTTTGTCATCCCTGCTTTGAGGAAGATGCAGGGTATTTTGGACCCCAGGCCCACCATCATCAAAGCGAGGGTAGGACTCATGAGGCGCAGAAGGGAAGCTAAAGATTTCTGGTTTTTATTGCCATGATTTTTGTGTAGAGGTAGTGAACTGTAAAACCTTGGTTTTTGCACAAAATGTCTCAAATCTTGGTGCATTTTAAGTCACTATATAATTGTGTTTTTATCATCTTCTTGATCCATATTTATCTTCATATTTTGCTATGATTTGGCAAAAACATCCCTTAACCCAAAACCCAGACCTCTCTTGAGTATTCATTACCACAGACTGAGTGAAAAAAATATATATATAGATATATATATATATATATATATTATGCACCCAAAGCAGGCAAAGCTTATGTCCCCATCAAGTAATAACAAGTAAAGGATTTGGTCTGCTGCCATTATGGGTGCCATCCAGCATGCACCGCTACATCAACTGCATTTATAAAGCAGTTTGAAATCAACTCGAATGTATTAGTGCCACTTTGTGAAGAAAGTAATGGCCTTAAAGAATAGATTTATCTGGGCTATTTTCCCAAGCAGATGGCATCAGTTCTGGATTAAAACTTTACCCTTGAAAGCAGATTCAACAAAGCTCTTATATTTTTATAACCTCTGTTTTTTTTATACATGTGCTATATTTTAGTTCTGTCTTGAGGTGCTCTCATCTTGGCCAGGATGCCCGTGCAGATAATACTTTCAATTTTATTGGTTATATAGATAAAAATGGGTCAGGATGTGATTCTCAGATTTGAAATCATGCTGTCAAAAAAAACATATTTCATATTGAAACAATTAATTAGGTTAATTGATTATTCAAATGGTCAGCAGCTGAAATAGTAAGTGAATAATCAATAAATGAAAATCAAACCATTTGCTAAAAGAGAAACCCATTCAGAGTAGCAACTACGCCAAAGTGGTATCAAAACCTGTCTACATTTTTTTCAAATTAAAAACTTTTTTTTTTTTTACCTTTTTCAGATGCTGCTAGTTTTCCATCTTTAATCTTAATACTATATAACCTCAGTAAGAATGGTATGTTTTAACCATCCAAACAGCAGAGCTCCTTTAGACGTTGGTTTTTAGGCTAAATCTATTTGGTCCGTCATAGTCTTAATGTTCAAGCTCAGCCTGTTTTTCAGTGTAGTCCTGTTTCTCTGACTGTGACTGGTTGGATGTGCTCTCTTTACCCTCTCACATGGGAACTGGCTCAGAGCTCATCTGACAGGCTGTATTTTTCCTGGATGGGGCCGCCTGTGGAGCTGGTTAATAGTTGCCTTTTGTGTCTCTGATTGTTTTTGTATCTCTGCTTCTGTCTCCTTGAACCCCAGTCAGAATCAGCAGATGACCACTCATGCTGAGCCCGGTTCTACTGCATACCATACCATACCAACTTTATTTATGAAGCACTTTATACACCGAACAGGACCAAAGTGCTGTACACAATCATAAAATAAAATACTGCAGGTTTCTTCCTGTTAAAAGGGAGTTTTTCCTCTCCACTGTTGCTACTGGCATGCTTGTTTGAGGGATTGGATGCGAGTCAATGAGTCGATGCAATTAACTGGTTTTCCTTAGATAGTAAACTTTGAATAACTTTGACTGTATGATCAGGTGAACTGTAAAGTGCCTTGAGATGACATATGTTGTGAATTGTATATAAATAAACTGAATTGAATTGATTTAGTCCAGAAATAGTTGTTGGAAAATGGACTGTGTTTGGTTCGGTCTGATATTGTCCCACTTTAGTCCAATAATAGACGTTGAAAAGGCGTTAGAAACTGGGTTTGCAACGTCTTTTCAATAATCTGAAAATTACAGCTTTTCAACTTTCACTATTAAACCCAATGTAGACGTTTGGACTTATATCATGTTCTTTTCAATCAATTTTTGTTTGTGGTAATTGTTTTGTTTTTATAGTGTAAATCACTTCTCTTTTGAGACTACATATATTTCCAAGTTAACAAAGTTGTTCCTGATTTTAAGCCAGCTAACCGGCACTATAAAGCAACAGTGGAAGAGAAACTTTGTTGAATCCAATCAGCTCAGCAATTTGACATTTCATGAAAATAAACTTATATGCCTGACACACTAATATTTCTCCAGTTTTGAAGTTTTTCAAAATATTTTTTAGAGAAAACATGTCATGGTTTAGGATTTTGAGTGAGGACCCATACTTTTTTGTGTATGGGTCCTTCAGGATTTGCTCTTAATTTAATTCAAAATTAAACTTTTTGTGTCTCAGTGTTGTAAGCTTTGAAAAACTAATAATACTAGGAACTTGCCTACAACAAAGTAAGAGCAAAAATGTAGAAGGCATCTTAATAAAAATGAAGAGGGATTCTGGAAGATGCCTTTTTATATTTGTGTTTGAAAGAGATTTAACTTCAATTTATGTTTGTTTATTTTCTAGTTGTCATGTGATGTGAAGCTGGACCCACGCCCTGAATATCACCGCTGCATTCTGACGTGGCATCACCAGGAGCCTCTGCCGTGGGCACAGAGCACAGGTATGGCAACCTAAAGCAGCAAAAACTAATTCTTTAGAGTGTCAGAAACATTTAAGACACAGTGACAACGAAACAGAAAATGAAATTTTGTCATACAATTTCAAAAGACTGTAGTATCTTTGGTAAAAAAATATATAATTTCTTAGTAAATAAAACTTTCTTTTTTGTTTTTTTGATTTTCTCAACTCTGGTGAATGTCGATGTTTTAAGGGATGTTGTCAATCATTGTCCAGTCATTCCATTTAGAGGATAAACATGTTGTAAACAGGAATTCACTCAGAAGTTGTACAGTAAAAGAAATGGTAATAATGGCTATACAGTGAAAACAATAGATCTTAAGTCTACATGGCAGTTGATAAAAAGATTATAGACAAATCTTATGAATTGATCTATTGCAGAATAAGGAGATTTATTAGCAACATTTATTAACCCCTTAAAGGCACCAAAAAAGCATAAATCATAACTAATATATAATTTTCTAAATATTTATATTTTTATTGATGTAAGTTTTTATATAATCATAGATTGTAGATTAATACTGAAAAACTTTCAAAGGAGATTTTTATAGAGTTCATACTTTGCTATTATTGAACACAAAGTATATAAATATAGAAAAAGACTAAGCCTTCTTTATTACATCCTATATATTGTTTTTGGTAAAGGCCTTTACATATTTAACATCTGAAATGCATTCAAGAGGTTCTAAAGAACTTTCAGTTTTGGTTGTTTTTGGCTCTACTCAGTGGACAAAAGCTGTGTGTTTTGCCTTGAGGAAGATAGTCTGCGTGTGAGTCGCACTTAATGCAGATATGCCCCCGCCCCTTCCACCGACACTCTGGTGCACTTCTCTAAAATTGTATGGGACTGCAGACAGTGCCGCAGACAGGAGGCCTCTGATTGGTCAAATCTACATCCACTCTATACTATGCGTCTTTCCTGTTTGTTAACTTACCGGCATGACCGCCATTGTGGAAAACGACATGTGAAGATGGACCAGCTAGAAAAGCATGGTGCGCAAGAACACTGGGACCCTTTTTCCACTTGGATCCGCGCCATTTTTCGCCCTCATGTCCCTTCAATGTCGCACACACACTTGCCCATTGCGTTTTTCCACTTCCTCACCACCTCTGCCGTATCTAGACCGAGAGGTAGTTCATGATTGTCCCGCTTGCGTTGTGGAATAATATAGCGCAGACCATGCTTCAAAATTGGGCATAAATCAAAAATATCTGAGTCATACCTGCGACAAACTCATTGCGACTTCCCTCATACTGAGTGAACTTCATTGTGGAGGGAACCCACTGAAGTGTTCTCAGAGCCAAGTGAGAGCCCAGTCCCATTTCTGTCACTGCAATTGACAGAAATGGGACTGCAACCCTTAAAATTATCCCTTCAGACTGGGGGTGATCAAGAGCTGACTTGGGCCCAGTCTAATTTCTCTCACTTGCACTTTTGGGCCCTGGCACATGATTTTGCACGTTCATGTGTAAGAGTAGTGTGACCCAATAGTTATAAGAGCTAGAGGGAAGTGCCCTTTAACCCTTAAAATGATCCCTTTAGATTTGACCATTTTTATTGTAATTTCATTTACACAGAGTGTATACAAAATAAAATTTCGTTTTGCATGGGCGTAGGTTTGCATAGGGACATGTCCCTACCAAAATTTTGGACGGACCTATTTGTCCCTACCAATAATTGGATGTGAACAACATGTTTATAATTTACTATACAGCAGCCGCTTCTTTTCCTCTCGCAGCTTCTCTGCCTGGTAGCTGCAGCTGCCTGCTCTTTCCTGTCCCTTTCACATAGCAGCGCATCAACTGTGCTGCACAGTTTAACTCTCTGATTATTCTGCCTTAAGTTCCGCCTTCTCTCTTTCTGATTGCGTGTTTTCTAGTCTGTATGTGCGCGCGTGCGGGTGCTTGGAGCGCAAAAAAAAAAGACGCTAAAATAAATTAATATTGGGCTACGAAACTAGTCCAAATTAAAAACTTATTATCTACGCTAAAACAGGCGAAAGCTTCTGATTGGAGTTCTGTAAAGAAGCAGGAGAGAGTTTTTTGATTTGTGGAACTTGAGAAATGTAAGTTAACAACGTTAGGATTTCTTTTATTTTATCTTTTAATCAGATAGCCAAAGGCTCCTTAAAGAAGATCTTTTATGAAATGAAACCAGGTGAAACAGAAACGTTTAAACGTTTCCTTCGGAGGAGTTCTGGATGGAGAATATTGACAGACAAAAACTATTTTTTTTACTTCTTAAATGCTAAATGTTTACATATTTTTTACAATCTTGGTATAATTCCTGCTCTAAGTGGGTCGATCTGTCGGCTGAAGGCACATTTTAGTGGCCCTATACTCCAGTTTATGATTAATCAATTACTAAATTAGTTCACGATTATTTAAATAATTTGTTAATATGATTAATTGTTTCAGCCATAGATAAAACACATGAAATTAGCTACACAGAGTAACTACAGCCCAGATGTACAACTTCTAATATTAATACTTTAAATGCTCAGTGTCAGTTCCTCTTCTAGTTCCAGTGCACATGTAAATACAATACATTTATTTTCAGTCCCTTGAATGTATTATTTTGCATGATCCAGAGAGAGCATATTAGATAAAAACAAATAAGAGTGGGTTTTACCTCTGCACAATTCTATATCTTCAGAAGAAAACACAGGATAAATCCACATATTATAGACTATATTTGGTTAAACAGACACTGTCTTAGTGGCAGGTAAATTTAAATGCAATCCTTTTCAAAGTGGAAAAAGTCCTAATTCCACATTCATCAGAGCCAGTTATGCTTTAAATATTGATAAACAGCATCTAGTGCATGTACTGCTTATAAGATTTGTATTAATGTAGCAAGAAATGCTGCTGTTCTCTTTAAACAAAATGAGCCCTGAAGCTCACATTAAGCATAAAAAAGAGCATGCATATTTTTGCAAAGGACCAATGAAACTGAAGAATAGTGTCCCTACCAAAGTTGAAATCAAACCTACGCCCTTGTCGTTTTATACAGCTCTCGGATAGTAAATGAGCAGCAGCTTAACAGTAAAATGTTCCATTTCATAAAGTGCAGCAGTGATCAGATGTAAACAGCGTGGGAGAAAAATATTGGTCCCCATGGCTCCCCGGGGTGCCGGCATTGTGGTGGCTGGGGGACTTCCTCGGGGCTGTCTTTCCTCCTCCCTTGGTGGGGGTCGGATTTCCTGGGCTGGCCCCTCCTTGGTGCCTTCGCTCTTGGAAGCCCTTTGGGCGTCTGGGGCTTTGGGTCTCCCGGTGCTGGACTCAGTGCTCTGGGCGGGCGCCTCTTCGGCTCTCCACAACCACTATTGAGCATTTTTTCTTTGGATAAACTTTGCATACACAAGTGCACCCTCACAGACGATTACAGGTGCTTGGCTCCAGGTACTTAGAGATTCACTTCCATACAGAAAGCCCACATTCTTATCTTCAGGTAATACAGAGTACATGTCAGACTAAATAATACTACTTCAGCGATAGTTTCAAGGTGTTACTTTATTGTATGTCTCGTACCATGTCTGTTGGTTGTGCTGGCACATTTTGGCCTTTTTTCAAACATTACTTTATTCTTGCCATTCTTCTTTAAAGACTAGGTATGCTGATAGGGACCAGTAGAGTTTCAACAACTCAAATGAGAGAATATACCAAATATTCTTGAAAGCTACCATGGATTCCTTGGATGATTGTTTTTACTTGTCCAGCCCTTTACTTTAGGTGGATTCCAATTTTTGATAGGTTTTCACTTATTTATATGCTTTTTTTGGGGGTGGGGGCAGTTTAAACAATGCTTCGACAAGGTTGCATTTTATTAAAACTCTATCTTACCGTAAGAGTTTATTCCTGACCTTTCATATAAAATTAATTGAAAAACATCATAATTTGCATTTGTAACAGGATCAAAAGCAAATAAGTTTTATAAAAAATAAAGTCTGTCAAGAGACAAAAATATAAGGCTCTGTATTTTTTACTGAATGAATAAATGAATACAGGGGCATTTTTTTCAGCATAAAGAGCTGATGCATAGGACTGGTTCTAATGTGAACTGTCTGCTTGGCTCTCCTCACTGCAGGGAACCAGGTGAGCAGCAGACTGATGAGCATGCGCAGTGCCAACGGGCTCCTGATGCTACCTCCAAAAACAGAGCAATACGTGGAGCTGCACAAGGGAGAGGTGGTGGACGTCATGGTGATTGGGCGGCTATGATGTCGTCAGAGGGGGGAGCAGGACGACATCACTCAGCGAGCATTGGAATGGGTGGTTCACGGTGCATGTCCACATATCATTGACTATTCTGTAATATGCAACGGCACAGCTAGTTTTTATTGATTTGGATAACGTTGAGGTATAGTCAACATCTTGATCACAACCTAGATACATATTTAAAAAAAATAATTTAAAAAGATTATAGTATTTCAAAAAAAAGAAAATATAACTTTTAATGAAAAAAATCTAATTATAAAAAGAGATTTATTCTGTAATATATTATTATGATTATTATTCTTATTATTATTATCATTATTATTCTTATTATCATTATTATATTAAGGCAACTTTGTTCCTTTCATTGCAATTGCTTTGTGTGTTTAATGCTAGACCTTATCTATAGCAGTAGCATTTTAATAGACCGCTGTAGGTGCCTGCCAGGACAAAAAAAAAAGAAATTATTTTCTCATCTTTAGTGGAAAAAAAATAATGTTTTTTTTTAAGTGAAGAAAACATGGAAGGCTCCAGATTTCATATGGTGCTCGGTTTTGAGGAAAGAGGCTGTGTATCAAGGCCACCTCCTCCTCTGAGGGCCCATCAAGGTGACACTTCTCTTTTTCCCTCATTAGTATGCATCATATTGGCTACACAAAGAGCTTTGCTTGTTGTTTATCTTGTGAGTCTTGTTTATGTGCGCAGTGCCAAATGCCTGGGTAGGTTGGAGGTGGTATTGGGGGGGTGGGGTGGGGGACGGGGGATGGGGTTTGGTTGCACACCCATGCCAGTCAGGCCCGGACCCTGAAGCTTCCTTATATTCACTAAAACTCAGCCCCAAACTTCACAGAGGTGACCAGCTGAGCAGGGGATAATTTATCATTTCTGTTTTGTTTTTCTTTTTCCTTTTGATCAACTATTTAAGAAAAAAAAAGATTACAAAAAAGAAACAGCTTCTTTAAGTGCTGACAGCCTTTTTAATCAACTTCACAAGAAATGTACAGAAAAGAAGAAATAACCATATTGTACAGATATATGTGAACAGTTCTCCTAAGGAAATTATTAAGCAATGAGGAGACATTGATCAACGCTGTACTATAACATTTTCTGTAATGATATGAAACTGATGAAAGAGACTAAGATAATAAAAACCATTGATCATTATGTAAAAAAAAAAGGTTCTTGTTGGCTTTCGTTTTTTAATAAAAATGTATCTATGGAAAATGCGGGACTTTTTTTGTCATTGATGCTGAATGTTCTTTAGATGTCACACTTTGAGTAATTAATAACTGGAATTGATTGATTGATTGATTGATTGATTGATTGATTGATTGATTGATTGATTGATTGATTGATTGATTGATTGATTGATTGGGGATATACACATTATTTAAAGGGAATCCACGTATGACAGCTCTTTTTCTTTTTTTTTTTTTGGTCCAACAAAAGTTCAGTTAGCCATTTATTTGAACTGTTGATAAGGTGTATATATGAGGAACCCTTGCAATAAGGAATAAGGAATGACTTTGTGTCAGTTTGTTTTATGAATAAAGTATTTTGTTCCAATCTAGAAAGATACTGCTAAACACTAAAAGTATAACAAGGACAACACAAAGTCATTGGCATAAATTTCCCAATAACTCCATCCAGTAAAAATATATTTACTTATGTTTTAACTTGTATATATAATCACTAGAATTGTTGGACTTTCTGTTGAAAAGAAAATCATGATAAAGAGAACACAGATTTAACACACAGTATTTCCATCCAGGAAAGAAGAAATAGTTACACACAGAAGCTCTTGGATTTATGGAAAAGAAAAGAAAACTATAAAAATGAAACCTTTGGATAGTGGGTAAGAGTACAAGGTAAAAGCTTGTATTTTAGTTATGTCCATGAAAGGGAAACGGGTTAACAAAGAAAGTCTAAGCCATCTCTATAGAAATACAAAAAAGCAAAGAGTTGATGTTGGCAATTGTTAAAGCCATTGAATAAATTCATGAAAGACATGGATACACAATGAAGCAGTTTATGTACACTGCAAAAACAATATCTTAACATGTCTTTTTTTTTTTTATTGATCAGGTAAGTGACACACTTTTCTTGGTGGAATAAGGCAATTTACATTTAAAATAAGTAAAAGCAGCTGCATTTTCCTATTTCAAGTGATTGGGGTGGGTAATCACTTGAAATAGGAAAATGCAGCTGCTTTTGGGTGGGGTGTCCTTTACAGTAAAACTTGTTCTATACAGTTTCACTTATGTTCTTTTCAATAATACCTCAGGGGTACATCCACAGACACACTGGCCAAGGGTCCTTTCTGAAAAATAAAGAAAACCTAAAATCCATTAAAGAACAGGGTTGTAATAAGCTTAAATTACACAGATGGGCTCTATTTAACAATAAGTTATAAAACCAACAAATGAATTTTATCAATAGGAAGCAACAGAGTTAAAGAAATTTCTCATGTTATCCTTTCAATGCTTAATGCTAAATCAAAATAGATGCCTTGTACATAGGAAAACAGGAATATGAAAAAACATGAAAAGGTTTATTATACTTTTGCAAAACCAACATGTATTTTTTTAATGGTAAATTTTACTTTTATATTTACTTAACTAAAAACAGTTTGTTTTTCATAATAATCCATCAAACATATGTTGTTGTTTTTTTTCTGGATAACTACATTTTTGAGCTTCATATAAATTAATTGACCCAAACCACAGGAGTTTTTCTTTCAGGAAACAAAGATTTAACAATTAAGAGCTGTCAAAAAGATGAATCTCACAAGGAAAACTGGTTCAATGTGGAGCTGTCAGAATGGATTAACGTCTTAGAATATCTGACTAGAAACTAAGACTCTCTGGGACGTCTTCCAGTTATTTAGCTTTTGTCAAAGATGTAGCTTGAGATTCTTCTTCCTTGCATGAAATGAAAGCTGATCCAATTAAGTGGAGACTATTAATACTGCCATGGCAAGAGAGTAAACATTTGTGTTGATGTATAAAGTGTATAAATAGAAATAATTTTGTTACAATATGAAGTGAAACAACATGAAGTGAAACAACATGAAGTGTATTAGCGGAAACCGTCCATCCATCTCGTCCCGCTATCAGGGGGCCAGTGCTTATCTCCAGCAGTCTGTGGGAGTAAGCCTTGGGTAGTTCACTAGTTTTTCACTGGGCAACACCGAGACACACACCCATGCACACACACTCACTCCTAAAGACAAATTAGAGAAGCCAATAGACTTGACTGTCCTGTTTTTGGACAGTGGGAGAAAGCCGTAGTATCCTGAGAGAACCCAGGTAAGCGCGGGGAGAATGTGCAAACTCCATGTAGAAAGACCATAAGCAGGGAATTAAACCCGGAACCATCTTGGTGCAAGGCATCAGTGCTACCCCATGTAACCATGCAGCATATTAAAGGGAAGCATTTTTGTCAATATTTCCTAAAAGAGCTGAGTAACAGAGGTAAACGATAAATGGGATAATGTGATTAGGGAAAGCAGGCCTGAAGAATTAAATATGAAAAGTTGCCTCTAAGTACTCTGAAGAAAGACAGAGAAATTGAAATATATCTCCATCAAGCTATGTGATGTTTTCTGTATTTGGTTAAAAAAAAATTCTTCAATTTTATAGAGTACATATTGCAGATCCTGCAGCTCTGCAACTAAGCATCCAGATTTTGTGACATTATGCATATATTCTGAAGAAAGGGTGGTGGGTTTTAGGGATAGGAGGTTGTACCAAGTTTTTGTTTTGTTTTTATGAGGCACATTAGTATTTCATGATCATAGCTGTATTTTACTGATAGTTAAAAGAAAAGTCAATTCAAATTCAAAAATACATGATTAATACTGAAGGGAAATTAAATATTGTTTTTAACTTGTTCTTTATTAGTTATTGTTGATACAAATACCTGAAGGCAGGAATGATTTGTAGGTGGGAGCCTTGTAGTAGAGGCTAAAATTCCTAGGTTTTCATGCTATTATGTGGAATATTATGAAATTATATTTATATGAGTAGGTTCTTTGAGTTTAATTTGGATTTTAGGTTAGCTTTATTTTATTAGGTTAGCTTTGTGTTTTGAATATTAACCTTGAATAATGTATTGTGTTTGTCTGATCCCTATTGATGCTTTGAAAGATTTATGACCAAACTCCCTAAAACCTAAATCAAGCAGTATTGTTGGCTTGGTCTGAATCGCTTTAATCATTGCAACCATTAAACAAAATATTCAATGAGAATTTGTAAATAAGACATTTGTCAGAAAACATTAGCTTTTGAAAAAGAAGATTAAGTTAAGATAATTAAGTTTTTCAAACTTTTTTTTAATTTTATTTGGATTACTATATGTTGCAAATAAAAGGGTTGTAGTAAAACAACATTGGTTATATGATGAGGTGATTCCTTTGTCTACGTTTTGGCATTATAATTAACATTTTTATTTTATTACTATTATGGTTTTTTGTCATTGTGTTGTAATATATGGAGGAGCAATCCTGCCATAATTAAAAATAAATACAGAAATAAATAAATGCTCCAAAAATAAATAAGTGTACAATATACTTAGACTGGTTGGGAAAACTCCCATGCACCCTCCTGTTTTGTGGATCTGGAGAAGGCATTCGACCGTGAGGTGTCCCTCGGGGGGTCCTGTGGGGGGTACTCCAGAAGTATGGAGTACCAGGCCCTTTAATAAGGGCTGTTAGGTCACTCTACGACCGGTGTCAGAGCCCGGTCCACATTGCCGGCAGTAAGTCGGACTCGTTTCCGGTCGGGGTTGGACTTCGTCAAGGTTGCCCTTTGTCACCAATTCTAATCATAACTTTTATGGACAAAATTTCTAGGCACAGCCAAGGTGTTGAGGGGATCTGTTTTGCTGGCCTTAGGATTGCATCTCTGTTATTCGCGGATGATGTGGTCCTATCTGCTTCATCAGGGCGTGATCTACAGCTCTGACTGGAACGGTTCGCAGCCGAGCGTGAAGCGGCCGGGATGAGGATCAGTGCCTCCAAATTCGAGACCATGGTCTTAAGCCGGAAAAGGGTAGATTGCCTTCTCAGGTTGGGGTGGATGTACTTCCCCTAGTGGAGGAGCTTAAGTATCTTGGGGTCTTGTTCACAAATGAGGGGAAGATGGAGCGGGAGATCGATAGCCGAATTGTTGCTGCTTCTGCTGAGAAGCGTGCACTGTACCGGTCTGTTGTGGTGAAGAGAGAGCTGAGCCAAAAAGCAAAGCTCTCCATTTAGCGGTCGATCTGCGTTCCTACCCTCACCTATGGTCATGAGCTTTAGGTCATGACCGAAAGTATGAGATCCCGGATACAAGCGGCTGAAATGAGTTTTCTCTGTAGTGTTTCTGGGCTCTCCCTTAGAGATAGGTTGAGGAGCTCAGTCATCCGGAGAGGACTCAGAGTATAGCTGCTGCTCCTCCACATCGAGAGGAGCCAGTTGAGGTGGCTCGGGCATCTGATTAGGATGCCTCCTGGACGTCTCCCTGGTGAGGTGTTCCAGGCAAGTCCCACCGGGAGGAAGCCCAGGACACGCTGGAGGGACTATGTTTCTCGGCTGGCCCGGGAGTGCCTTGGGATTCCCCCAGAGGAGCTGGCCCAAGTGGCTGGAGAGAGGGACATCTGGGCCTCCCTACTGAAGCTGCTACCCCTGCAACCCGACCCCGGATAAGCGGAAGAAGATGGATGGCTTGGATGGACAATATACTTATAAAATATGTTATAAGTATTGACTCTATTATTTTTTGTTTGGATTAGGGTGACCAGATTTGGGTTTCTGGAGTAGGGGGGTTATAATGCTACAACGTTAGCATTGCTCTCATCTGCAGGTAGCAATCTTTTTTGTGACTGTGGCCGGCGGCTGCTAACCAACCAATGGGCAGAAGCCCTTAATACACAGCCCTTCCTCATTTGCATAATGAGGCAGAAATGCATACACAAATGTAAATACGACAGGCAGAAATAAATAGCGTTGAAGAAATACATATGGTAAAAAAATACAAAGGAAGAATAAACCATACAAAAATATTATAACATGCACATAAATAAATGCTTAAAGAAATAAGTAATAAATAAATAAAGTTAAAGAATATAACGGACAATAAATAAATAAGGTAATTATTACAAAGGCAAATAAACAAAGAAGCTAAATAAAAGAGATATATATATTTATGTATCACTGTATAGTTTAATTTCTATCTACATTTATTTGTTTATTGTTTTTTGGTGGGCAATTAATTGTATGCTTTTATTTTTGGAGCATTTATTTATTTCTGTATTTATTTTTAATTAAAGCAGGATTGGTTCTCCATAATAATATTCTTGTTTTGACAAAAAAAAAAATAAAAAATGGGGTTATAACATCATTGACCCAGAGGCGGCGCTGTGGCACTACTTTGTTGCCAGGGAAACGGCTCACAACAACCGGCAGAGCTCTGCCAGCGGCAGCAGCCACAAGTGTCCCGACTGTGCTGGGTGCTGTGGGACGGGACCCGTTCAGGCGGGGTTAAAAGTTAAAGGCTCTCTTCTTTCTTCTCTACAAGAATGAAACTCTACAGAATGTCTTCATCTTAACGGAAAACTCAAACGACTCGCTGTTTTTTGGTGAGTAACCTTACTCAACTTTACAGGACAGCTTCGTCCCACTATAAGCAGTTAGCGGTACAAAGCTAGGTCTCCTCCGCTAAGCTAAGTCCCACGTTGGCGCAGATACCGAATAAGCACAATAAATGTAGGTTTATAAAATAAAAAACATTTCGAGCTAGAATACTTCCGTGAGGTGTTTTATAAAGTTTCTTTAAAAAGGTCCAGTATTATTACAATTACTGTGTTTGCTTCATCTAATGAATTGGTGTTATAATAAAAAAGGAGAATAAAAAAAGAAACTTTTTAAATCTTAATTTTATGTAAAAATAAAAGGAAACTTCCTAATTTATTTGTAGGAAGTCAAAAGGTTATATATGAGTACATTTATGCATGTAATAATTATGTATATTAATGCATGAGTGAATGAAAAGTTAATAATTATTGTCATCATCCTATATTTGTGATTGTATTATATTATGATTATTCTCTTTTTATTACACCTTCACCACCATTTTTACATTTTAGTTTCAGCTACTCTTTGTGATGGCACTGCAGTTATATGTTTTGTACTGTAATTAATCACTCATTCGTTAAACAAAAAGCGGTTAACAGAAGTGAAAGGAATGTGTAAAGATGATAAATAGACTAGACCTCATCAAACTTTGTATGTTGATAAGAAAACACTAAACATAAGAATAAAAATATATAAAGACACAAAGAAATATAAAACAAAAAAATAACGTATAATCAAATTAAATACTAAAATGGTTAATAACTGAAATAGAACTTCTAAAACAGAAAAAAACAGCTCAAATACATGAATATCTATACACATTTCTTGATTGTCCATGTATGTAAAGTACATTGGAAATTGAATTTTATTAAAAACATACAAAAAACCTGTTGTTTTGTATAACCCAACTATTGCTTCAGTTTATATTTGAAAACAGCCTCATCTACAAAGGTTACAGAGGTATCTTCTATGTAAAAAATGTCTATCTTAAATTGCTGTGAAGAACATCTATATTGCAGTGTTTTTAAAAGTATGAGGTTTCCTTGTTTAAAAACATTTACCGGTAAGACTAAATATTTAAAAATGTTAGCCTAATGGTGGTTTTATTTGGAAGTTTAAGGATTGCTTAAGGGATACAGTCTTGGATGGGCAATTTAGATTTGATTTACATTTTTTATTAGCTTTTTTCATTTCAATTTGTGCATATTTGATTCTGATTTTTCTGATCTTATCTCACCAACATATTTAATAATTTCTGACATTTGTTTTCCAACATTTTGCATTGCCATGTCTGCTATTATGCACATCCAGGCATTCCTGCCTTTCTACCTCGGCAGTTCTCTCTTCTCAGCATCCCTCCCAGTCCTTCTGCAGCCAACGAGATCCCAAGCTTAATTAAGCCCATGAGAACAGATGGTCTCCTGGCAGCCTCTGCTGTTTGTCAGCAGTGCCTGGCCACACTAAATACTGCTAAATGCCTCTGTAGGGGAGGGGTTTAGCAGACACAGTGATAGACTTATCAGACGTCATTAGCTCTGAGGACTTGGTATAAAATGGACCCAATTAACTTTATGGATTGACAATCAGTTTGGTAGAAACGAGACAATCAGCTATAAGATTTATTTAATTTTTTTGCACAAAGTGACCTAAAAAGAGCCTCATGCCCAACACCTCTCTGTCAGCCTCACAAATCCAGATTTAAGTGTAGTATCCCTAAAAATAGGCCCTAATCTACAATGGTCACATGACCCGTGAGTCAAGTTGTAATAATTACAGTGTTTGTTGCACAGTTGGGAACAGGTGTGGTGAAGTAAATGGCTAGATGAAGCTGAACTGGAGAGAATCAAAGGTGATGGAGGTCAGAAAGCGCTCTTTGTTGTTAGCTAGACTTGTGGACAGATGAGAGCAGACAGGAGTTAAGGCTCTAATCATCATGACACTAAAGCTCAGGGATAGTGGAGGGGACGTCATAATAAGGCCAGAGAAAAGGAGTAGGGATAGAAATTTGGCTGAAAACCACAAGTTCCACAATCCTAATGGTCAACATTAATATAGCAGTGTTGTGTTTTTCTAAGGATTAGAAATATATTTAATGAATTTTATTTTAAAAAGATATTTTTTTCCTTTTTCAGGCTGTTTGGGAACATCATAACGTGTATTTGCAAACTGAAAAAAAAAATACATAAACACAGCATTTCCTCTTAAGGGAAGCATATATCTTTGCAATCCCTTCTCCAAAATGCTGACTTTTTGGTCTTTAAGCATCTAACTGGTTAAGTTCTGTGCCTTTTGTTTTTTTTAGGAAAAAAAAAAACAAATATATTTTCCCCACTTTTGACATCGAAGCTTAGATTTCAGATCCCTTACAAAAACCCTCCTGCACTACAACTTAACATGATGCTCCCAATCTCAAACTTCACAGTTGAGGGTTGCAGAGTTTTTCCATTTCTGTTTAACTGTAAGAATGGGCAATGTCAATTCTCAATGGCTTTCACATTAACTTAATGAATATCTTAATTACTAATCAAAATCAAATCAAATTTATTTGTATAGCCCTTTACAATAACCAAATGGTACCCAAAGTGCTTTACAACAAAGCCATAAAAGCAATACATAACACATATAAAAACATACAAGATACAATTAACATTAGGGTTAACATTAACATTAAATCATTGACATTAAATCCAATGACTGCTTGGATGCAATATTTGGTAGAATATTACATTTTAAGTTGCAGGCATTGGCATTCTGTTTATGCAATAGTATATCTGGTAAATTGAATAGACTAACACTATTGATAATGCTCACATTCTGTGGGAAAGATGGTAGAGATATTTGACAGAGGTGGTAAAAAGTTTTAGGTAAGGTGTTAACCATCATGTTTTTTGGCTAGCATCACCACACTTGTAGTGCAGCATTAGAACTAAAGTGTCTCTGAACGAAGTCTGTAAATCATCTTTTCTTACATAATGAAAGAACTTAAAGTTTATTTTAATGCTGATACTATTGTTGGTGTCAGTTTAACCTCTTTCAGGTGACTTGGTTGTTTACTGGACAACTAGTCAGGATCAGGAGTTTCTCTTACTGTTTTGTGGGTCAGAAAGTGAAGGTTTGGGAACCCCTGCAGTAGAGCTTTTCGTAAAGTTGTCAAGTATTTCTTTTTGACTAGTGAGTAATTTTTCTTCTTTAAAAACAGTCAGCAGTTTCATTTAGATCAGAAAAGATTAAAGAATCCAGAAAGTGACATTTCAAAGTTAGGCTTTTCTTTTGTAAACATCCTGTCATTGATCTTTTTCTAAAAAAGCCGCCCTGGAGTACTTTTAACCAAATAGAAATAGCACACAGACACATTTGTGGCAACCAACAGATGTCTTTTCTTGATCGAGACAAAACCTTTAATAAAGCTGTTTTTTACATGATGTATACCACAAAAACGTGCTTAAGGTAGCACATGAAATCACCAAACCCTGCGCCTATCTTATATACGCCTTGCATACCTTCTTACCTAATTAACTCCTTTGCTTTTGATCTGAATGTGTTTTGTGTAACTATAAGCATGAAAAATACCTCCCCAGTAAGTTGTGTTTTATGTAATACTTAAAGCAAACTTTCTGTCTTTATTCCAGGATATCACAGGAACAGCACAACGGACAACATCGTAGATATGGTCTTTTGACCATTAAGTACAGCAGGCCTCAGGAAACACCGGTGTGGTTTGCACCGTACCCTGCTGCAACAGGAATGATTACCTACCGTACAAATGGTTATATACAAGACGCCTCAGCTCCGGCTGTGAGGAACAGGGAGAGGGCTGTGGACTGCCCAGGGCAGGAAGGTAGCCCCCTGAAATCCCCACACTGCAGCACCAAAATGGAGAGAATCCAGCATTACCAGGAAGAGCTGAGAAAGCGTAGGGAGGAGGACAGCAAGGGGAAGCATAATATTGATGCGAATACTTCACTGAGACTTAAGAAACTGTCTCAGAACCCAAAGATCGGCATTGACAATCCCACTTTTGTGGGGAAGGAGAAGACCACCAAAGAAGTGACCTGCCTGCTTCCTGTTGTTGGTGAGTAAAGTAGAAAGTGGCAGTGATTGGTGAGATGTCTTTATAATGATTGATAAGCTTGAAAAGGGAAAGGAGGGCTTGAAAGGAAAAGAGCTATGTAGGCCAGGGAAGAATGGAGGGTCATGACGTTTAATAATAAACAATCTGTGAGAACAAAAGGAGTCAAAACAGTAACCAGTGAAGGGATAGGGCAGAGAACGTGTTTTGTCTTTTATTGGCTGTCTTAGATTCACACTCCTATTTTGAGCTCTAACATCTGCTGGCTGTCCTAAACCAGATAACTAGATGCTTTATGCTATCTGGGGTCGTGAGGGGTGCAGGTGCCTATCTCCAGCTGTCTACGGGCGAGAGGCGGGGTACACCCTGGACAGGTCACCAGTCCATCACAGGGCAACACAGAGACAAACAGAACAGATAACTATTCACACACATCTAAGGAGAATTTGGAGAAGCAAATCAAACTAACAGTCATGTTTTTGGACTTTGAGAGGAAGCTGGAGTACTCGGAGAGAACCCATGCATGCTCAGGGAGAACATGCAAACTCCATGCAGAAAGACCCCGGACCGGGAATCAAACCCAGAACCCAGTGCTACCCACTGCTCCGTGAAGCAGTGGGTAGCACTGCTGCCTTGCAGCAAGAAGGCTCTGGGTTTTAATTAAAAACATTTTTTATTTAATTTTAATAAATCTTTGACTGATGGATAGAGAACATCCTGTATATCCCAGGATGAAACTGACAGATTTAAAAAACATGGCTTGCTACGGTTTTATGACGAATGATTAGATAAGAAGCAGAATAAATGATCAGAATATAATCTTTCTAAACTGAAATTAAATGCAATTTTATTTATGAAAACCTTCAAAAAACAGTAAAAGTCAACAAAGTGCTGTACAGAGCAAAATAAACAAGACAACACTAATATAGTAATGAAAAACAGCAGGGAAAAAGGTCTATAAAAAGAAGTAGAATAAAACACAGATTTGTCATTGTACTGTCAATTCAATTCAAAAATACTTAATTAATCCCAAAGGGAAATAAAATGTTGCAGTAATTAATGGTGTTATTTTTTACCAGTTGTTATAGTTGTTGATGGCGGTACGCAGAGAAGAGCTTCCTTTCACTTTCCAAAGTGGAATAAAGTGAAATTTAGGTTTCTAATCCAGCCATTGCATTCTTAAGTTCTGAATCTGCTTTTCCAATCAAATAACTAGAGAAAATGTTCAGTACCTCTGAACTGCCCATTTTGGTGGCATTTTTTAAACATTGTCTGGTGGTGGGGCTATGCTTTGACATTGGGTTTAGTTACACTTAAAATAACAAAAAATGTTATTCCTAAAAGTGGTGATTATTCAGATACAATTAAATATGAGGACCAGATTCTATTTCAACCTGGAGAGACTCACACTGAGAAAAGCTGCAATTAGAAACGTTTTCTTCAATTCAATTTATTTATAAAGGTAACACAGTCACATTGGTCAAAATATTTCTATCTGAGGGAAACCAGCTGATTGCATCGACTCATTGTCTCTGCAATCTCTTACACTGCATGCAGTGGAGCAGAAAACTCCCTTTAAGAGGAAGAATCCTCCAGCAGAACCAAGTTCAGTGTAAGCGACCATCTGCAGAGGCTGACTGGGGTTCAAGGAGGCAGCAGCAGATTGACAGATATTGACATAAATGCAATAAGTTATTTTTCACTCTGACCCCAGCAGAAGAGTC